TCCATGACCGGCCATGTTACAGGAGCGAGTGCCAGAGGGCCTGGCACTAAATGACCTGCCACGGCACCGGCGGAGGTGCCAGAGGGCCTGAGACTAATTTTTATGACCTGCCACGGCACCGTAGGCAGTGCCAGGCAGCACAGATGTATATTTTGGCATTTTTGAACGATTCGCCCCACAGGTGGAATTAGGCGTCTGTGTCACATTATATTTATACCCTAGGCAAACAGGAAGTCATGAATTACTAATCTAAAGTTCCTAGATACCCCAAACAACTTTAGCAACTCGAGATTAATATATTTCAAGGAAATCCATTTGATTTTTCGGCTGAATTGTAAGGGCTGCCAGAAATTGTGGGATTTTATTTCTAAATGTGTGATTTTATTTTTACCAACAAAGTAATGTACTGAAATAAAAAGTTGGATTTTTCTCTCTTTTTTTATAGGGTTAGGGTAATAGACGTTTCTTTCTAATTTACCTCACGCTACTTTTATTCAGCACTTTAAGAAACTTTTAAGCACAGGAACCATTTTTATAAATATGAGTTTTTTTAATAAACATTTATGATATATTGCTTACAGATGAATGAATAACATATCTATAAACTATTTCTTATCTATAAGGGGAGCATTATTGTTAATTGAACCAATTATAATCTTAATGCAGTGTTTCATTAGAATTGATCAGGTAATTATCAATTATTAGAAATAGAGGCTATGTCTGTGTTTAATATGCAATATAATAATTTTCACTCAGTAAAAAAGTTACTGTTTAAATATATATTTTTTATAATAATGTAAATGGCTCAGTGTTCTAGTAGGATAGAACCTTTTCCACCTTTTATCTTGATTAAAGAATGTTTCAGTAGGAAGGAACTATCCGAATAATTCTGCTTTTTCTTTCTTTTTTTACTATATTAGGAGTTTATGATTAAATGCAGCCACTTTGGGATGTTTTTTCGATATAAATAATAATATATATTTTTTAACTGGTGTCCTTAAGTGGACCGTTTTAAATTTGCTGTGGAGATCAAAGCTTTATGTGACCTAAGAGCCTCTAAAGCAATAATGAAATGTTTTATTTTAGTTATTGGGATTTATCTGAAAATATTCTGCTGTTTTGTGTTACAATTGTTGATTTTAATGTTAACATATTTCCAACTTTAACTTATCAAATATAGAAATTATTTCTAAAAGAAACAATTAGTTGCATTATTAAGGATTATTAAAATAATCTTCCAACTCATTTTGGAATCAATGAATCATTTACTCTAGTAAACTTACTCTGAAAAAGCAGCAATTAGAACAAAATATTTAAAAATATAAAATCCTTTTTTTCTGTTTTGCATGCAGAGCTCATCTAGCGGCAGAGTTTTAGCTTCACTTCACTTCATTCTGTGAACTTTACCCTAAACCTAATCTTCACAGGTTTAAACCAACCCCAACCTAAACATGACACCTGACCGTAAAACAGCATTGGTTCCCATGGCGACCCAACTTAGGCTCCCACCAGCAGCCGGTCCCCACGATGTGAGAAATTAACTTATACTGGTGGGAACTTTCCATAAAACTCCCATTCATATCTATGGCCTAACCCAGGTCCTTACCAACACAAAGCTAAGCCTAAATCTAAGCCAAGCTCCATTCACACCTTAAACTGGACCAATCAGTTCCTCTAAGGACCTAAACTGCTGCATAATCCTTGGAAATGGTCCCCACAGAGTAACAGAAACATGACCACACACACAACCCAGTCTGTATATGTGGAGGAGTAAGAACATATTTTAATATTTTTTCTAAAAACATCACTATATGTGTTTTACTTTGTTTTTTGTTTACTTGAACTTTTAATAAATACCATAAAACTGAAAAACTGTGTTTTTAAATTCTGAGGTCAAAGTTGTTTCATTATAAAGCGTGGTATAAACAGCCCTCCGTAGAATAGAAGCCCACCCGAATTCTATTCTACTCATTTCATTTCAAATAGAATAGAATATTATTAGAAAAGGATTTTTTATTTTTTTATTTTTTTGTCCGTTGTTCTTTTCCAATAAAATCCTGTTTGACAAACACTGCAGTGAAAAAGATGATGATGAAATCAGGAGAAAAGCTGAAATTGATGCGCAAAAAAATAAAAGCTTTAGAAACAACATTCTCTACCTTTTCTTTTTTCTTTTTTTTTTTTTCTTTTTTTATCCAAATATGGAGTGAAGGCTTCATCACCCTGCAGTTGTCTGAGTTTCTTTTTTTTTTTAGTTCTTTTTTTATTCTCAACCTTTTCTGAATGTTAAAAATATCTGAAACAACAGAAACGATTCTTTAGAAAGAAAACATCCTTTTTATCTGAATTAACGATCTAGTTTTAAATATTTTACATTCTCCTTACTTGGTTCTTTCTCTTTAATTCTCTTATTATGATTTAATAAAAACAACAAATAGAATTTAAATTTAAAGCCTAGATTCCCAGATTCAATATTCCACATTTCATAAACACAGGAACACTGGATGATCTGGAAAGCGACCTGAGATGACAGGCGCTATAGAAATAAACTGAATAGAATTAAATTACATAATAAAGCTCAGCAAATGAAATGTATAATTTTTTCATCCTTTTTGTTCCAGACCTCATCCTGGATTTTATAGATTAAAATGCACCAACAGGATTTTAGGTTTAGCATCAAAGGTACATTCATCCGTTCATCAGTTCCGACCAACAAGCAGCAGATTGTTTATATTGATCTTTATACCAACATCAAGGCCTAAAACGTCCCTGCATCCATTTCCTGACGCGTCTTTCCCTGCTGGGGTCACCAGGGCTGCGGGGGCCTGAACCTCCAAGCCTATCCCAAGGCGTCAGAGCGCTCGCCGCGTCGAGCAGCTCGTCACTGAAGGACGAGTTTGGCTCCGGTTTAATTCTAACCTCTTCATTCATTCCCAAAGCAAACGCTCCCATTCCTGGAAAACTGAATATTTACTGCAAATAGTTCCACCAATCAGAAGATCACCTTCAGATTAAAATTAGGCAGGAGCTTTAAAAATGTTCTTTTTGTTTTGTTTTTTTATTTACAAAATTTTTTTTT